ATCTTGAATGATCCATGCTGAGTAAGAAGGGAAATAAGAGAGTTGAAATATTTGACAACTATATTGGGAATCCCAAGTCTTTGTTGAACAAGTATATGGTCTCAACTCTCAAGACAGAAAGTGATGTACCATTGGATTTGTTTGATCTAAGAACTACAAGTTTCAGTAACTTAAGAGCCAGCTTATGGAAAAACTAAGAGATTCTAATATTCTATCACAGTGTAGTAAACTGACTAATTAAGGTAGTAATGAAGTATCAACTTCTTGTGTCCTAACTAGCTTGCATCTTTTGAGCTGAAGGAGTATCATCATGGACCAGTTCCTCGACTGGATTTATCTCGGCCCACGTGGCTGCATCTGCATATCCCAGCTCAAACAGCTTTTCCAGCACCTCGTCCGCTGCTGGTTCCAGTGCCCAATTCAATAGCTATGTACCACAAAAACCAAGATTTACACACTTCTTGTCAAAGTAGAAAGATCTCGTTAGAAGAAACTGAGCACTTACTTGTCTGGATGTTGCCCTGTCTAGAGGGTTGCAATCTGGGCTGATCTCAATACCCTTTAGTCTGAAGTTACTCGCCGAAAAAGCACAAACTCGAACCTGTGATACATTATAGAGAGTTCATTAAGCCCCATGGAACATATTTGAGAAGGCCACACGTTAGCAGCTCAAAGATGTGAAATGAACAAGAAACATCTTTGATGCACATACTGTTTTAGCGGCAGATGTTGGTGGCATAAACAATGTCAAGCCTCCATCAACACAAAGTCGATCACGGAACATAGTTGCTGGCCTTGGTGCAAGATATCTGCATTGTTCTTAATTCTGTTTGTCAAAGTTTTGTTTTCCAGAGAAACTCTAAGTTTCAAAAACAAGAGAGTGATATTTACCCTGGAATAAAAGCAGATGTAAAAACTGCATTTATTAGGTCGCTTTTGGAGTCGAACTGATCCACCAGTAGTCCTCTAGGTCTCCATAAAACCTGTGTGATGGCAACTACAATACCATAAAATGATCAGAAAAGTCAGACCCAAAGACAAGTCCGGCAAAAGGATACCGGATTGAAGAGAAGATGTTGTTCTCACCGCGAATCCTGCCATTGGATCTAATATGAATATCATCAGGCAGTAACTTCTCCATAGAGTCTCTAAGGACAGCCTGAAACCACATGGAGCTAAATGAACAACTTTAACATGTGACTTAGAGCCAAAATCATCAGAGCAACATTGGCTGGTCTAGTGTTTCACTCAGTAACCCTATCTGTCATACAATTGGAAACAACAAAGACATTCCTCGGGAAATCATGCCATCAGAAAAACACAGAACAACCTAGAAGAAACTGTTTGAACATTAAACAATCCAAGCAAGCTAGAAGAGCAACCACCTAGGAACTTACAAGTCCATGGCTGTTAACATTATATAAGAATATCTAAGGAAAAGTTCATTACCCCAAGACGGAAAGCAGTGCCATTGCGACGACAATCATCAGCAAGAACCTTGGTAGCTTCAAGGGCTTCTCGCATAGAGGATCCTGAGGTTATCACAGCACAGACTATAGCACCAGCAGAAGCTCCTGCTAAAGGAGTAGTTTCCTGAATCAACACACAACAAAATCATAATCTATCACCATCAACAACACACCAAAAACTTCCTTTATTCATAAACACATAATTGATGAGATATGAAGCAACCTTGATGTAACCCTTTTCGATGAGCAACTGAGCAACACCAAGATGATAAGGAAACAAAAGACCAGCAGCAGAAAAACTAAAACCAGGACTTGTAATGATCCTCCTCTCTTTCTCCGCCTCTACATCTTTAATCCTTTGTTCCCATATCATCGCTGGCTCTATCTCATCCTCGATCACCGTTGCGATTCTCTCGC